TTAAGGGATGTGAGGTCATAGTGGGAGATCGAACCATGCCTGCGAAACTTGTATTACTTGATATTCATGATTTTGATATAATTCTTGGTATGGATTGGCTCTCTACTTATCATGCATATCTAGATTGTTTTCAGAAGCGAGTTTCATTCAGAATTCCTTATGGATTGGCTCTCTACTTATCATGCATATCTAGATTGTTTTCAGAAGCGAGTTTCATTCAGAATTCCTAGGGAGTCCACTTATCATGCATATCTAGATTGTTTTCAGAAGCGAGTTTCATTCAGAATTCCTAGGGAGTCCGAGTTTTGTTTTGAGGAGATGGGTGTTAGTGTACCTCCATGTATTATTTCAGCTATGGAGCTTGTAGACATCTAAGAAAAGGTTGTCAAGGTTATCTTGCCAGTGTAGTTTGTACCGAGAAGAAGGAATCATTTTGGATGAAATTTCAATTGTTCGAGAATACCCTAAAGTTTTTCCTGAAGACTTGCTAGGGCTACCACCTAACTGGGAGATTGAGTTCATCGTTGATTTGATTCTAGGAACAGGGCTGATCTCAAAAGCACCTTATCGAATGGCACCAGTAGAGATGAGGGAGTTGAAGACTCAACTACAGGAATTGTTAGATAAGGGGCTTATCAGGCTGAGTGTTTCTCCTTGGGTGCTCTAGTACTTTTTGTGAAGAAGAAAGATGGGAGCATGAGACTATGTATAGATTACTGAGAATTAAACGGGGTGACTATGAAGAACAAATATCCTTTACCTCGAATTGATGATTTATTTGACCAGTTGAAGGGCACTCAGGTGTTCTCGAAGATTAACCTTCGGTCTGGTTATCATCAACTCAAGATTAAGCCTGAAGATGTGTCAAAGACTGCATTTCGAACAAGATATGGACACTATGAATTTTTGGTGATGCCATTCAGATTGACAAATGCCCTAGCTGCTTTCATGGACTTGATGAATAGGGTATTCAGGTTTTATCTCGACCAGTTTGTAGTTGTTTTTATTGATGACATTTTGGTCTACTCTAGAAGCCGGGAGGAACATGAAGAACACTTAAGAACTATTTTTTAATTACTTTTGGAACACAAATGGTATGCAAAGTTGAAAAGTATGAATTCTGGTTAGAGAGTGTCTCATTCTTAGGGCATGTTATTTCTAAAGAAGGGGTGGCAGTGGATCCTTTAAAGATAGAAGCAAATGTTGATTGGAAGAGACCTAGCACTATGACCGAGATACGAAGCTTTCTGGGATTGGCTGGGTACTATAGAAGATTTATCAAGGGATTTTCCTGCATTACAGTACCTGTGACATGATTGACTCAGAAAGGGGTCAAGTTTCAGTGGACTGAGAAGTGTGAGCAGAGTTACTAAGAGTTGAAGGATCGGTTAGTGTCCGCACCCATACTCACGATTCCTTCTGGATCAGGTGAATTTGTGGTATACAGTGATGCTTCTCATATTGGCCTCGGTTCTGTCCTTATGTAGCATGGGAAAGTAGTAGCATATGCATCCAGATAGCTTAAACCTTATGAAAAGAACTACCCAACACATGATTTGGAGTTAGTTGTTGTTATCTTTGCATTGAAGATTTGGCGGTACTATTTGTACGGTGAGATTTGTGACATCTACATAGATCATAAGAGCCTTAAATATATTTTTAAACTTAAGGAGTTAAATATGAGACAAAGGCGACGGTTGGAGATAATGAATGATTATGACCTTAATATTCATTATCATCCCGGTAAGGTGAATGTGATAGCTGATGCTTTGAGTAGGAAGACCAATGCTAGTGTTGCCACTTTGATCATAAATCAGAAGCATATGTTAGAGTACTTGAGGAGACTTGATATTTATGTTCGACTTCGAGGATCTAGAGTGATGTTTGCTCATCTTAAAATTCAGCCTGCTTTGATTAACAAGCTTGTGGCTGTACAAAGTGATGATCCAGTTCTTGTAAAAATTAAGGCAGATGTGGAGCGGGGACTTCAACATGATTTTATAGTTCATGATGGAGCTTTGAGACTCAAAATCCGCTTATGTGTAACTAATGACCCAGAGTTGAAGAAAGAAGTCTTAGAGGAGGCGCATTGTTCGACATATACAGTTCATCCTGGATCTACGAAGATGTATAGAGATTCGTAAGAAACATTTTGGTGGAATGACATGAAGCGGGATATTGCAGAATTTGTGTCTAAATGCTTGGTGTGCCAACAGGTCAAGATTGAATATTAGAAGCCTGACGTACTACTTCAGCCTCTTCCAATTCCTGTGTGGAAGTGGGAGGAGGTAACAATGAATTTTGTGACTAGTTTTCCTAGGAGTCAGAGTGGTAATGCCACTATATAGGTGATTGTTGATCGGCTTACTAAATTGGCTCATTTCTTGCCTTGTAAAATTACTCATTCTTTTGAGAAGCTTGTTCAATTATATGTTAAGGAGATTGTTAGATTGCATGGATACTTGTGACTATTATATCAGATAGAGGTTCGAGATTTCATTCTAGATTTTGGTAAGGTCTAAATAATGCTCTGAGAACACAATCGGGTTTTAGCACATCTTATCATCCACACACGGATGGGCAATCAGAGAGGACTATTCAGTCATTAGAGGATATGCTTCGTGCTTGTGTTTTAGATTTGAAAGGTAGCTGGGAAAATCATTTGCCTTTGGTGGAGTTTGCATATAACAATAGCTATCACTCTAGTATTGATATGTCCCCTGATGAAGCACTGTATGGTAGGAGATGTAGATCACCTATTTGTTGGGATCAGGTAGGAGAAAGAAGGCTGCTCGGTCCTAAGATAGTGCAGATTACTATTGAGAAGATTTAACAGATACGTGAGAGTCTTCGTATAGCTTAAAGAAGGTAGAAGAGATATGCTAATAATAGAAGAAGAAAGTTAGAGTTTAAAGTCGGCGATCATATTTTCCTTAGAGTATCACCTACTAAGGGAGTGATAAGATTTGGAAGAAAGGACAAGTTGAGTCCGAGATATATTGGACATTTTGAGATTTTGGAGAGAGTTGGAGCTGTAGCATACAAAATTGCATTGCCTCTAGAGTTGGCTAAAATTCATAATGTTTTCCATGTATCAATGCTGAGGAAGTGTGTACTTGATTCGAGTTATGTATTGAATTATGAGCCACTTGGAGTCAAGGAAGATTTGACATATTCAGAGTATCTAATTAGAATTTTAGACCGGAAAGAACAAGCATTAAGGTCAAGAATTGTTAAACTAGTAAAGGTTTTATAGAAAAATCATTCAGCTGAAGAAGCTACCTGGGACCACGAAGATGAGATGCAGGAAAAATATACTAATATATTTGAAGACTCAGGTATGTCCAAGTTTAGAGGACTAAACTTCTGTTAAGAGGGATAGTATATAATAATTCTAAGTTTTTGGCTAGATATATATAAGGAAAAGTAAAGGGGCGTTTATGCAAAATTATGTTAGAGGGTCTATTAGTAAAAAGGGGCCTTTATAAATATCCAAAAAACCTATTTCATTAGTTTCCCGTCCTTGTCTCACTGTACAATACAGATATATATAAGGAAAAGTAAAGGGGCGTTTATGCAAAATTATGTTAGAGGGTCTATTAGTAAAAAGGGGCCTTTATAAATATCCAAAAAACCTATTTCATTAGTTTCCCGTCCTTGTCTCACTGTACAATACAAGCACATTATCGTATGGCACCAGCAGAGATGACTGAGTTGAAGACTCAATTGGAGGAGTTGTTAGATAAGGGGTTCATCAGGCCGAGTATATCCCCTTAGGGTGCTCCAGTGCTTTTTGTGAAGAAGAAAGATGGGAGCATGAGACTACGTATAGATTACATAGAATTGAATAAGGTGACAGTGAAGAACAAATATCATTTGCCTTGGATTAATGATTTATTTGACCAATTGAAGGGTGCTCAGGTGTTCTCCAAGATTAACCTTCGGTTTGGTTATCATCAGCTCAAGATTAAGCCTAAAAATGTGTCGAAGACTACATTCAGAACTAGATATGGACACTATAAATTTTTGGTGATGCCGTTCAAATTGACAAATGCCCTAGCTGCTTTTATGGACTTGATGAATAGGGTACTTAGGTTATCTCGATCAGTTTGCAGTTGTTTTTATTGATGACATATTGATCTACTCTAGGAGTCGGGAGGAATACAAAAACACTTAAGAATTATTTTGCAATTACTTTGGAACATAAATTGTATGCCAAGTTAAAAAAGTGTTAATTCTGGTTAGAGAGTGTTTCATTCTTGGGGCATGTTATCTCTAAAGAAGGGGTGTCAGTGGATCGTTCAAAGATAGAGGCGATTGTTGGTTGGAAGAGACCGAGCACCGTGATCGAGATACGAAGCTTCTTGGAATTAGCTGGTTATTATAGAAGGTTTATCGAGGGATTTTCTCGCATAGCAGCACCTTTGACTCGATTGACTCAGAAAGTGGTCAAATTTCAGTGGATAGAGAAGTGTGAGCAGAGCTATCAGGAGTTAAATGATCGTTTGGCGTCCGCACCTATACTCACGATTCCTTCTGGATCAGGTGGATTTGTGATATATAGTGATGTTTCTCATATTGGTCTTGATTGTGTTATTATGCAGAATGAAAAAGTAGTGGCATATGCATCTAGACAGCTTAAACCTTATGAAAAAAAACTACCGAACACATGATTTAGAGTTACCTGCTATTATTTTTGCATTGAAGATTTGGAGGCACTATTTGTACGGGGAGACTTGTGACATCTACACAGATCATAAGAGCCTTAAATACATTTTCACACTTAAGGAGTTATATATGAGACAAAGATGATGGTTGAAGCTAATGAAAGGATTATGGTCTTAATATTCATTATCATCCCAGTAAGGTGAATGTGGTAGCTGATGCTTTGAGTAGGAAGTCCAATGCTAGTGTTGCCACGTTGACCACAAATCAGAAGCATATGTTGGAGGACTTGAAGAGACTTGACATTGATATTCGACTTCCGAGGATCTGGAGTGATGTTTGCTCATCTTAAAATTCAGTCTGCTTTGATTGACAAGCTTGTGGCTGCACAAAGTGATGATCAAGTTTTTGTAAAAATTAAAGCAGATGTGGAACATGGACTTCAACATGATTTTATAGTTCATGATGGAACTTTGAGATTCAAAAACCGCTTATGTGTACCTAATGATCCAGAGTTGAAGAAAGAAGTCTTAAGAGGAGGGGCATTGTTCGCGTATATAATTCACCATGGATCTATAAAGATGTATAGAGATTTGCGAGAAACATTTTGGTGGAATGACATGAAGCGGGGTATTGCAGAATTTGTGTCTAACTGCTTGGTGTGCTAACAGGTCAAGATTGAACATTAGAAGCCTGACAGACTACTTCAGCCTCTACCAATTCCTGTGTGGAAGTGCGAGGAGGTAATAATGGATTTTGTGACCGGTTTTCCTAGGATTCAGAGTGGTAATGACACTATATAGGTGATTGTTGATCGACTTACTAAATCGACTCATTTCTTGCCTTGTAAAATTACTCATTCTCTTGAGAAGCTTGCTGAATTTTATGTTAAGGAAATTGTGAGCTTGCATGGGATAATGATGACTATTATATCAGATAGAGATTCGAGGTTCCGTTCTAGATGCTGGCAAGGTCTGAATAATGCTTTGGGAACACGATTGGGTTTTAGTACATCTTATCATCCACAGCCGGACGAGCATCGGAGAGGACTATTCAGACATTGGAGGATATGCTTCTTGCTTGTGTTTTGGATTTGAAAGGTAGCTAGAAAAAACATTTACCTTTGGTGGAGTTTACATATAACAATAGCTATCGCTCTAGTATTGATATGTCCCATTATGAAGCGTTGTATGGTAGAAGATGTAGATCACCTATTTGTTAGAATCAGGTAGGAGAAAGAAGGTTGCTCGGTCCTGAGATAGTGCAGATTACTACTGAGAAGATTCAACAGATACGTGAGAGACTTCGTATAGCTCAAAGCAGACAGAAGAGCTATGCTGATAATAGAAGAAGAAAGTTAGAGTTTGAAGTCGGCGATCATATTTTCCTTAGAGTATCACCTACTAAGGGAGTGATGAGATTTGGAAGAAAGGGCAAGTTGAGTCCAAGATATATTGGACCTTTTGAGATTTTGGAGAGGGTTGGAGCTGTAGCATACAAAATTGCATTGCCTCCAGAGTTGGCTAAAATTCATAATGTTTTCCATGTATCAATGCTGAGGAAGTGTGTACTTGATTCGAGTTATGTATTGAATTATGAGCCACTTGGAGTCAAGGAAGATTTGACATATTCAGAGTATCTAATTAGAATTTTAGACCGGAAAGAACAAGCATTAAGGTCAAGAATTGTTAAACTAGTAAAGGTTTTATAGAAAAATCATTCAGCTGAAGAAGCTACCTGGGACCACGAAGATGAGATGCAGGAAAAATATACTAATATATTAATAATAATAATAATAATAATAATAATAATAATAATAATAATAATAATAATAATAATAATAATAATAATAATAATAATAATAATAATAATAATAATAATAATAATAATAATAATAATAATAATAATAATAATAATAATAATAATAATAATAATAATAATAATAATAATAATAATAATAATAATAATAATAATAACACAAATAATAATAATAATAATAATAATAATAATAATAATAATAATAATAATAATAATAATAATAATAATAATAATAATAATAATAATAATAATAATAATCAGAGAGGGGGCCGATCATCCTAGGGATCAATAGGATTTTAAGATCAAAATATTAATCAAGGTATATTTCTATACATAGAAGCACATGGCTTGATATCTTTGTGGTTTGATATATGTTTCCATGGTCAAAACTAGTTGCTGCTTGACCCCATTCAATTATATGTTTAATTTCAGAGCTTGTTTCATGACCTAATATTATCAATTAATTGCATCATGTTTCTAAACTCTTTAAGTCCAAACTTTGTTTTTGTCTCTTTTCCTAAGTGTAAAACTTCTTGATGCTATGAATTGTTGGATGTTCCACAGTTGAAATGAAAGCAGCTTACCATATAGCCAAGATAATAAGCTAGTTATATATATTTTTTTTCATAGATATAACTTAAGTGTTTGGTATAATTAGCATATCTAATAATAATTCGTTAAATAGATGAATGGCTTAATGTGTTAATGTTTAATAGGAAGTTTGTATTGATAACTATTTTATATGAATTCTATAGGGGTTTCAAGTGACCTTGAGGATGTGTCGTGACTAGTATTCTAATAGTTTTTAACTTTAGGTAAGTGGTGAATTCATGCATTGTGCACTACGTATTTTTCTTATAAAATTATATTAAGCATATGTGAATTTATTTCTGATGGATTATATCCTTTTGTGTGATTTACTCACATGTTAAATATTGATTCGGAGGTGATGCACATGGATCTTTGGTATAAGCCAATACTTATTTTCTTTGTTAATTGTTATATATTTTCATATAGTAGTAGGTTGAGATGCATATGTGGTTGATTGATTTCACTATTGGTTTGCCTTTGGCATTTTTGTATGACATATTTAGTTTTACAAACTTTGATCAATTTTCTTAAAGCATATGCATCTCAAGTCAATATACCGGTATATGTCGGATATAAGCAAGTTATTAAAACATGGCTCAATGTGCCTCAATATACCGGTATATGTCGGATATAAGCAAGTTATTAAAACATGGCTCAATGTGCCTCTATGAGGTTTTTATTTTAGCGCTAAGAGCCCAAGTTTGGTAAAACATGGCTCAATGTGCCTCTATGAGGTTTTTATTTTAGCGCTAAGAGCCCAAGTTTGGGTCTCACCATCCTGACTACGAGCTATATAATAGTGAGGTTTGCCAAGTCAATCAGAGTATCAAAGTGTTGACCATATTAAGACATAATCTGCTTATTTCCTTTGCATGTATATATTTTGAAAATGTTGCATTATAATTTTTACTATTGTAGTATTTTGTTTATCAAGTAAATTTATTTTAGTTTTGTAAAACCAGTATCTAATGTATGAATTTATCCACTTATTGAGTTATGAATTCATTGTGTTGTTTTCATTCTTTTTAGAGACTCGGGATTAGGTGGAATTGAGGATTTGTCAAAATTTTAGAACGAAGCAACAAATATAATTCGAGATTGTTATTGTCTTCTCGGTGAAGGTTAAATAAAATCTTTTATGTTTAGTTAATGAATTGAGAGTCTTATAATAATGAGATTCTTTCTTTTAGGTCGAGTTTTATTTTAAGTTGAGTAATAATTATTTTTATCAAGTTAATTGGATTAGTGTTGACTTTTGGAATTATAGAGAATATTTATTATTTGTTTTAGTTTGATGAAGAGTTTATTTTGATGGTCTTTTAATGAATGCATATTTTGAAAGATTTTTCACAAGTTTAATCAGGCTCCAATATTTCTTTTAGGTTTAGAATTTGGGGTCGTGATATAGTTGTAGGCGTCTAAAAATACCTATAGGTGTCCGAATATAGCTCGAGACGAAGAGAAGACGATAAAAGTTATTATCCAAGTCGGAGAGAATTATCTAAGTCAAATGGGATCATCCAAAGCCGTAAAGAAGCTAACGAACGTACGAAGCAAGTCAGTGAAGTGTACAAGTCCACTAAATGACAAAAGATGCAAAACAACAGAAAATACAAGTCCGAAAAAGTCAGAAAATACCAAAACCGCGAGTCAAACAAGTGCCCAGACTGGCTTCGCCAAGGCTGAGGCAGTCCTGGCTGTCTCGGCCAAGGTCGAGACAGTCCTAGCTGTCTCGGCTAAGGCCGAGCATCCAAAGCCGTAAAGAAGCTAACGAACGTACGAAGCAAGTCAGTGAAGTGTACAAGTCCACTAAATGACAAAAGATGCAAAACAACAGAAAATACAAGTCCGAAAAAGTCAGAAAATACCAAAACCGCGAGTCAAACAAGTGCCCAGACTGGCTTCGCCAAGGCTGAGGCAGTCCTGGCTGTCTCGGCCAAGGTCAGTCCTAGCTGTCTCAGCTAAGGCCGAGCCAGCTTGACCTACCCCGTACAGGCCCGGGACACCAGGGTCTGTCCCGCGCCCAACTGCCCGAAAATGCATATTTTGGTGGTTTCTTCTGGATTTCTTCGTTCCTAAGCTTCCTAACTGACTTGATATCATATCAAAGAGTGGTTAGGTCATTGTCAACTGAAGATATTATCAAATCATTTATTCTTATCTAATTAACCTGCATCTGAAGCCCTATAAATATGAGCCTAGGGCTTTCTTTCACAGGGGACGAATTTAATTCAAAGAGGGCGAGGTGTTGTCAAATTGCAGAGCCAAGGACCATGAGGAGGCTAGCAGATCTTGGCGATTTCCTGTTCATAAAGAGTGGATTTCGAGAGATCTGAGACCCATCCTCCATTCCTTGAGATCAGGCTTGGACTTGATCTCGAGAAGGTCATAATCTCGCTTGATCGAGATTATCACTTCTGTTCTTGTTTCCTTTGTAAAGCAACGAGCATTTAGCCTTCTATCAATTGGATCTGAATTGTAGTCGGTCCACGGATAAACCCCGGTACAGGCAAAGATCTTACGCAAATAGAGACTAATAAGTAGGATCTATGTGTTGTTTGACAAAGTTGTAATCTTTTATTTTTTTTCATTGTGTAAGGAGATCTTTTAAAAAGATCAACTTTTTTTATTTGAATTTGTTGTAACAACCGAAGTTGTAATAAATTCAATAGCAATGAAAACATTAACTTTTGACGTGAACAAACTAGCGACCACAGTGAGAGCCAATGGTCTCTTTGCCGAGGCTATAGTATCGCAACCTCAGATCTATATCCCAGTTAAAGAAGAGGTCGAATATGAGTTTAACCAATGAAAGTACGAGGAATACCTATCCTCCTCCTCCAGGTCTGCCTCTCCTCGTAAGTGCAGGAAGGTCTCCTCCTCTAGGAAGGTCCGTAGGTCTTCGAATTTAAAGACCCAAGAAGATGATCTCCACCCCGTAGATGCTGTAGTTATGTCCCAAAATGCCCTTCCGATGTCCGATGAAGCCGAAGCTGTAGATCTGAATTCCTCAACCAAGAAGATAGCCGCTGGAGACGTGCCGACTTTGTCAAAAAGGGACCGTCAAAGGTAGCGCCAATGCCTCGCGTGCCAACTAGCCAAGGCTTTAGAGCCACTTGACGAGATCCACTATGAGACGGATCTGAAATTTAGAAGACGCCAAGTGCTAAAATAGCAAACAAGCAGCTCCTCTAAACCAGTGATTAATGAATGGATCCAAGTCAAAAGGATCCATTCAACCCTTGAGAAGCGAATCTAGAAATGCCATGTATTGCTTGCACATGCATGAAACCTTGTGCGGGAAGCGTGTAAGTTGTAGAAGGAGGACATGGTCAAGGAACCATCAAAACCTTACAAAATTTGGATTCCAAAGTCTGAAACTGCACAAAAATTAAATCGGGAGGCAACAGGAAATTCCTGTAGCTAAGACAACCTGAGCTGTCTCGAACCTAGCCGAGACAGCCAGAGCTGTCTCGCACCTGGTCGAGACGGCCAAAGCTGTATCACACCTAGCCGAGACAGCTAGTATTGTCTCGCACCTAATCAAGACACCAATGGCTGTCACGCACAAAAAGCTGGCTCCGTGACTACTTTCGTGTCTCCGACAACCCCCGTTCTTATCCTAATTGATCCCGCACATCCAGTGAAGTCCCACGGCAATGTGAATCCCTCCCAATGTAAGAAAGCAATTGTGGATCACATTAGTTCTTTGCACGAGCATCGATGCAAATCTCCTGTTAAAGAACGCTTAGGCAAAGTGAATGAACCCCGAGCAACTCATCAAGCTAGGGGTCGTATACGCCCTAACAACAAGTCAGAGCCTTCCTATGATGGGAAAACTCCTATGATGGGCCATCTCGGATGGCGAGTCGAATCCAAGAGCCCCTTGAGGCTCCACACTCACGAAGGCGTGGCTCTAAACATGTGACTCTTGAGAATGCTAACAAGTCATTGCATCCTCAAAGGGAAATATGTTCGTCTATTCGATGTTAATGTTATACCTAGGAAGTTGTGCCATCACACGATAGGTTGCTTTAACAATAATGTTGATGAGTTGTATTATCAGGCTGGGGGTACGAATAAATCTTGAAAGAGATGTACCCAGAAAGTGGACTCTCACTGTCCGTGTACCAAACTTATAAGGGCAGTGTTATTAGCATGTAGCTGCCCTAAGACCGCTCCATAGAGGGTCTCGATATTCCAAAGGCTTTCCTCTGAAGCTTCAAAGACCAAGCTAAGGCGTTTTCACAAGAAACCATCAGCCATTCAAGATGATGAAACTACAGAAGTCATAATTAACAT